TACCCTGTACTTTCTATATATATATATATATTTTTTTTTTTTTCCAATAATGCTTTAAAAGTTTATATATAATTTTTTAGAAATTTTGAAAAATGATTTTCTTTCATTTTTTATTTACTTTATTGCTTTATAAAATCTAATTTATTATTATTATATATATATATAACTTATTTATTTAAAATGTCGAAGATAAACTTTTAATTTAGTTTGTTTTATAATTTTTTAATATGAGGTATCTCAAAACTTATTTTTACACATTTTCATGATTAATTTTGTTTTGTCTCATTTGGTGTGTTAATTTTCTATTAATTAATTTATAATAATTCACTAATTTTTTTGTCACTATTAAAATTAATTACAAAATTCTACATCATAATTATTTCAAATTAATTAATGAAATGGAAAAAAAGGATCATTAATAGTGAAAAATTCGGAAGGGTAAAATCTTGAAACCAATGAAATTAATAGAAATTAAATTCAAACTCAAAAAAGAAAAAAGAAATAATAATAATAATTTAAAATTAAGAAAGGAAATAAAAATTAAACTCAAAATTAGTGTATAAATGTCTAACATTTTAAAAATGAAGGGTTCAATTGGAAAGAATATTTTTATCTTCTAAAAAGTAAAAATATATTCCTATTTTTCAATTTTTCACTCCATTCAACATAAATTTATTTTTTCTTTTTGACTTTTTGACAATATTACTTTCACTTTTTGACTATATGTAATTTTTAAAATTTAAAAATTAAAATATAATGATTCTAAGCCGATGAAGAAACTCGAATTCACGTAGGAGCTAAATATGTAACCCCGTCCAAGCCCAAAGTTTGAAATTGGTATGAAAATTATTAAACTCTAAGAATCGAACCTATTTTTAAGAAAGTGAGTGTTTATTATAATAAAACTCTATTCAATCTATGCACATACATTTTCATATTCTCAACATTTTATGTTTGTCAGAAGCATTCGTTTAAACGTGTCATTCGGAGTTTTATCTGAGAATAAATAATGAAAAGATTTCATTGCAAATCTATACCTTTACACACAAAAATATTATATTAGTTATGAAATTTAACCCTTCAACTAAAAACAACTCATTAGTTATAAAGTTTTAATATACTCTAGATCCTAGTAGAAAGTAGAAAGTAAAAGGATATATACTAACTAGTTAATGAACTGTACCATACCATATAGGATTGTGCACAATTGTTATTAGAGCGATACAAGTCAAGTCTCGATCCAAAAAGAGCCAAACGAAGTAGGTAATTACTAATTTCCCATCTCATTCGAGACCAAAGACGGATGAGTTCATCAAAACGTGCAATAAAGAATAAAAGGAGAACAAAGCGACAATCACCGTAGTTTACAAACTACTGTCGACCATTTAAAAAACTATATAATTAAATATTTCATAAATAAAAATATTAAAAGTTAATATTAATGCTTTTTTTTTCTTTTACGATTCAGAGATAAAAATATAGATCAAAATATTAAACGTATCAACAAATATCCGTCTAAATTTAAGTGACTACCATTTTAACTCAACCTTAATATGAAGCTCGGTCAAAATTGAAAGTACTATTCCATAATGAACGTCGAAAATTTAGTCAAGTTTTACATGAAAACATCATCACCTAAACATTGGGTCCGGAGGGAAGAAAGTAAAAAAGAAAAACATTGATCCATCCAAGTCCACAAACAAATGAAACCTGACCTCAAGCTAGCTGATCAGAGGAACTGCAAACAAAATATAAAACAAAAGGAGAGATCAGAAACAGGGCTTCAAAATCATCATAGATAAACACGTTCAAGAGAAGACGTGACTAAATGCACAAGCGGATTTCTAATATGGATCGAACACGACACAGACAATTACGCAAATGAACTAAAATCAGTACAGGAAATGAATCCACACTTCATGGATATCTTGATTCGTGATGTGAAAAGATATTCATTTTTAAGAAAAATGCGTGGGAGGAAAAATCAAAGATAAGTTATTACTCAAGAAATGAGTAGACAAAGCAATAGATTGATCCAAGACAACTGAGAATCGTCGAAGAATTCATATGAAGCGCAACTTAGCACTGTAGGAGACAAAGGTGGAAAAAACCAGGGCTCCAAGGGTACTAATAGATGAGTGAAAGACATCATGTAAGTGGTGGGGACTGGAATAAGTGAATTGTGAGTAAATGAACTCAGAAAAAAATTATACATCGGTCTGGAAGTAAAACTAAGATTCCTACAGTGAGGACAAAATGTGATAAGAGTGTCTCGTTTATACAAAGACATTGAACATCTATTTTATTGATTGATGGAATGGATTACAAAAGAATGTTCGACCCAAGCCTACTCTATGTAATAGGATAGAATATTGGATAAAATTATAGCAGTTGAAAACTTGATGAACATAAAAATTAAAACAAACATTTTTTTTAGTTCAAAATTGAAACAAACTTCATTGTTAAAACATTCAACATCAAAGTACTTGAACTCAATAAAAAAAGAAGCACTGCACTATGGGAAGAACACATAAAGACGCCTCGAGAATTTCTGATTGCAATATGATGCTCCATTTGGAGATTGAGGAGTCAGAACAAACCATATATAATCATTTTGGAATAAACAGACATGACAACATCCAACAACAGAAAAGAAAAACTAAGATTGAAAAACATAGTCTAGCAAGTTAATGAAGTACAAATTAAAGTGACACAATGATCACAGGATTATGTCACAGACGAACTATTAACAGTGCAAACAAAAATTGAATATCGGAAATGAATAGCAACGAAGTATGCAATATCAAGTTATGCTGTGTTATTATCACATGATTAAGATGAACAGCATGGATGATTTTTTCCTTTATACAACTAAATGCAAATGGCAACTAACAATTTTAAAGACTAAAACAGTGGAAGCGGGGTGTGTACCTCAAATATTGCTGGGATACATAAATACCCTAACTTTATCACCCTGCAAAATTGTCCAGTAATTCAATCAGAAAACATATCCCCAATTTATGATTCTTTAAAGTATATTAAGTGACAGCAAAATCATTCCATTTTACCATGGATTTTGGGGGCAAGTTTGACTTGAACTTAGCTCGAACAATGCCACTGTTACCATGAGCCCTGGATACTTTGCCCCAAATGCATCGATAGTGAGTTCCATTTTGCTTCACTTTGGCCTTGTAAATGTATGCCAAGCGTTTTCCAGCATACCACGCGACCTCTTCCTTGGTATTCACACCTTCAATCTGGATCAGAGATGTTCTTGGATACTGGTTTGACTTCGACCTAAACACCAACAGCACATTCTTAGCTCCCTCACAAACTATAACATCCCTCAGTAACTTACAACTAAACCTAACGCATATTTCAATTCCAGTTTCGTTCATTTTCTCGGCATCGCACTACACTTAAACAGCTCCCTATTGCATCATTTTCTGTTTTCCTAACAGTGTCCAATCACATACTACACATCACTAAAAGATAACCAATATACCATTATCAAAGCAAAACCAATTACCTCTTGTAGCCAAGGACAGTTCCTCTGACGTAGAGTCTGAAACAAACACAATAGATTAGCATATCATTATGAAGAACAAATAAAATCAAACAATAAAAACGGGTTGATCTAGGGCTCAGGAAAGAGACCTGACTCTTTCTCCCTTGCTTCCCTTCACCATGGCTGCCGCAGTAAGGTTCAGGAAAACGACCACTTCAAGGCAAGAAACTAAGAATTGAGATCCGTAGTCAAATGTAAGTGCTGTAGAGAAGAAGAAAAAGGAAATCTTAGAGGAATAATCACCTTCGATTTGGAGGTTGAAGTGCGGAAGATGGAGCTGTGTTCGTCGTAGAAGGCGAGCGCCCGTAGAAGAGGAAGCTTTTATAGTGGAGGTTGAGGGCCGAAATGATTTGAAGCACTTCTAGGGTTTCTCTGTCGGGGTAATACGATGTTTATTTTTTATTTTTATTTTTATTTTTATTTTTTTTCAACTTCTCCAAAAGAGTTTTAACTAATTAAATTTTAAGCTCAGGAATTTATTAAATATTTTTTAATATAAGTTTATAAATTTGTTAAAAGAAATAAAATTTAGAAATTAGCCTTGTAATTTAATTTAATTTCAAATGTAAATGGTAGAAATGGACGTTAAAAATCGAAATGCTGATGAGGTAATATCAAAATATACTTTATTAATTTAAATTTAAAATATTATATATTTTAAAGTTCGATATTGACTCTGAAACTAAAATTATATTCTCAGCTCCTTATTTGATAGACTCCTCAAAATGTTAAGACATTAAATCAATTACAAAAGTCATTTTCACTCGATATTAAGATTAGGTCCCATATAATCATTATGTGAAATATAAACTTTCTCGGTTAACAAATTTATAAAAAAAGATTAAATATTTAATGGCAGAGTCTTGTACAAATTGATTGCATAACATATCCCCACTATAAATAATTACAATGTGAACTGCATCAGTAGTGTTATCGAAATATTATTTAAATATAATCCTCTCTTAGATTTTCATACCGTAGGTAACATTATACTACAAATAGACAATCAATATTATTATTAAAAACCTAATAATAACTATGAGGTTATATAATATAAATCCTAATAATCTGATGTCCGATTAATTGGTGAGCTCTCGTATATAACTTATACGAACTTAACCCCATAACAGCAGGTCAAAACTCACGTCAGAACCATAACTTTTAAGGTTATGGCCTATGACCCCATCTACAAATCTCTCACCTAACTCGACAATCTTGCCCGCTATTCTTGGTGTGTTAAATGATGCAACATTCTTCTCAGTTGCATCATGATACTTGACACTTCAAATAAGTGATTGATAGCTCAATCAATCATATCACAATCAATAAGATATCAATTACGTTAAATTACTATCTTCAACCTAATCGAACCTATCCTAAACTATAGCAGTTATCAAACAAGAACAAAGATAAACAAAAGCCTGAACAAAGCTTTTGTTTTTTTAATTATATATAACTTTGGCACCAGTTGGCAGTAGGGATTCATAAATTTAAATTCAAAACTAGTCTACCACTTGATTATGTTCATCAAACTGCAACAATTCTTTTTACGAGTTTGATGAACTCAGTTAATCTTCAGATATACTACTTCCTTCTACCTACCATTATCATTATAGGGAAATAATATCATACCTGCTCTCAATAGTTGAGCAACGAGTACTTTACTCTCAACACAATTCTACTCTTTTCCACGCCTAGTTTCGCACCTGTAACCAACCAGTGACCTGGAGAATCTTGAGGCCCCTTGCTCATCTCCGTCGTGTCGACCAACTTCGCAAGCTTGTTGCCTTGTGTGTTTTTCGAACCTGAACTCGAATCATCAGCAGCATAATTACTATTATCACTGGACGACACTAGTTTTTTCGACTTGTCGTTTGGCAAATGATCCCATAATGTTCGTCGTATCGTACACCCTGGCAGTCTAGAATACAGAAGTTTCATGTACAAAACGTTTCTTGATCCGAAACCCCAGACTCCAAGCTGAGCTCCAGTGACTATGTAAACACCAGATAACTCGCCCATGAAGGTTTCGGGGTTTTCGATAGGTGCGGTGCTCACGTGCGAAAAGTTCTTCCACTTTACTGGCTCGAACCATCGGCTATCTTGTTCCTCTGGCCCCTGCCACTTGGGAGCACCGATTGCAATGTGAGTGTCCCAGTATGGCTGCAGGATTTTTGGAAGAGTAGCTAGGTGTTTAAGATGGATACTCAACCGATTCTGCTTGCCCCCTTCGAGAGACAAACACATACCCGTCACTGGCTTACGTCCTATCAGTATCTGCATTATCATCGAGTCAACTTCATTTCATCACAAAATATTGTTTCACCAAAAAACTTGGAAGCATTTTAATTTTTATTATACCTAAATACAACAAAATCAATATGGATAATGGATACAACATATTAAGGGCATGAACTAGTCAGTCATCAAAGAGTCAGAACATAGAGCAAAATAGGCTAGAAAAAGTGATTTGATGAACATTGGCACAGAAAATATAAGACTAAGTGGAATAGAAGACACTGCATCCAGATCTAGAGAAGGCTGATTGTGTAAAAACGTTCAAAATCAAGATCGATGCAAACATTTTCTTATTTTTTATCGATGTAGTTTAATTAATCTGTAGTTGAATTAGCCTGATTCAAATGCTCATTACAATTTCAGAAAAGTTACCATCTCTTCACGTACACGAAATGAATATCAAATAAGCAAGTCACAAATAAGATCAAACCTGTTCAATGCTGACATATAGTTTCTGCCCCATTATGCTGAATTGCAAAGACGGGCATACCGGTTCTTTCCTTTGATGGCCAGGAATCGTGTCACGCACAGGAGCCCATACCCGAGGAATCTGAAACTCCAGGAAATATCTAAGTTCTTCTAATGGAGGTTTATCTGCAAAAAGGAAAACGCTCAGATCAGATTTAGAGATTGCAGGTGGACGAATACAAGTTTACTGATGTAGTAGAGCCATGTATTCGTACATTCAAGATAGAGAAGAATAGCTCGAGTTAAATGCTCCTTTCCAGCTACACCGTCAAGGAGAGAAGTTATCGGGTAAAAAGTCATCTCAATTACGTCTGGGGAGGACCTAACTGTTTTTGCCCACTTGACATGGTTTTGTTCTAAGTCATCTCCTCCTCTCCTCCGGAATATGACCGTGACATCCTAATTCATTACCATATAATAAATAACAAGCCACAACTAAATGAATCAACCATGAACTAAACATAAGCAATCAAAGGGATGACAAACTAAAACGTCAATGGTTTCAGCAATCAAAGTGAATAACATGGCCAAAACATATCAAGTGGTGAGGAAAATGATCAAAATAAGTAAACAATAAGATTATAAGTGCCCAGTGAGCGTAAAATCAGTTCTTCGAATAAATATCATAATTTCCACATACTTCTTTACCAGAGGGATACGGAGCAGAGGTAGGCTGAGGATATACCCCTTGGTTGTTGAATAGTCCTCCATCGAGGCCCTGCAGGATTACGATATAAAGTAGAGATTAGGAAAAGGAAACTAAATGTTCCCAGAAATTAACTGGAGGAGGAGGGTTTCAAACTTCTGTAAATAACCTTTTCCTTAAGTTTTCTACTTCCGGAACCCGCTTGACCTTGTGTATCAGAAAACCTCTGGTTTGCAATGTCCTGTACATATCTCTTTACCTCCATGGTTGATAAAGGAGAAGACTGGTGTTGTTTAACATATATCACATCCTTTCCACCAATAGTTATAGATGTGATTACATGTGTCCCAAAATTCTCAATAAAGCTGCCAGGAAAAAAAAAACTCGAGATCAGGAGAAAGCTTTATTGGCATTATATCACTTGCAAGAATGTGAAGGCTTCTCACCTTGCCAAGGCGGGTGGATCCCAAGAAGTTGGAACAGACCGCTTGACATTTTCGTGCAACAATAATGAGGTACTCGTCAACTGAAATTTTGCAAGTGGAATATAAAATCCATCCGTGGAAAGGTTCTTTGCTGCATCAGCATCAATCTGCTTTGAACCAGTGAAGCCGAATGCAGTATTAAAACTACCAGATGGATAACCTTCAGAAAGACCATCCTTTTGATTAAAGTAATCTACCATCTGCAAGTAAATAGTTATGAGTGCATTGATCAGTTCACTGGCAATAGCAACAGGTTCTCCAAGGATAGTACATAATTTACGATCTACACGTTATAATTATGAGAAAAATGCTGTATTTAGAAATTAAAAAAAGAAATAGTTAAATAAAGGAATATCTGCTGACAAGGGAAGGGACGCAGAAACTGGTCATAAACTAAATTACAATGTAACAGCCCAAGCCCACCACTAGCAGATATTGTTCGTTTTTGGTTTTACCTTTCGGGCAATCCCTCGTGATTTTTAAAATGTGTCTGCTAGGGAGAGGTTTACATACCCATATAAAGAATGCTTCGTTCTCCTCTCCAACCGATGTGGGATCTTACAATCCACCCCCTTCGGGGCCCAACGTCCTCGCTGACACTCATTCCCTTCTCCAATCGATGTGGGACCCCCCAATCCACCCCCTTTCAGGGCCCAACAACCTTGCTGGCACACCGCCTCATGTTCATCCCCATCGGGGGCTCAGCCTCCTCGTTGATACATTGCCCAATGTTTGGCTTTGATACCATTTGTAACTGCTCAAACCCACTGCTAGCCGATATTGTCCTCTTTGGGCTTTCCCTTTTGGGCTTCCCGTCAAAATTCTTAAAATGCTTCTACTAAGAAAAGGTTTCCATACCCTTATAACGAATACTACGTTCTCCTCCCCAACCGATGTGGGATCTCACATACCGTTTCATCAAGGGGCACTCTTGACAAAAGTAAAAAAAGAAAAAACCCTTCATGGATCAATTATTTGCAAGCTCCCAAGTTTGAGGCACCAAGTTCCCTTTTCTACATGCACTACCAATGAAATGTTGCATTCCTTATTTTAAAGAACTTAAAAGTTCTTGTCTAGAAAAGATGACAAAGGTGACTAGTCGTACATATGGTAAAGGGTATTATAAAAGCTATTTCAAATTTTAACGATACTACATCACCAGATTATGGAAAATATGGACAGAGATGCATCTTTTATCCAATTTTCAACTGGCCAGGCAAGATAAAGATAGATCTGAGGAATTTTCATCCAGCCGTTCATAATTCATAATCGCTAACAAATCAAGACAGCATATAATCAACTTTTGATCAATTTGTTGTAGTCATCATTCCAATTAAATCTTGTATGCACGTGAATCAATCATCTTGGCCCATCATGAGTAACGGAGTATGAAACTAAAAAAAACCAGAAAATTACAATGCATGAAACAATTCCTTGATTAGGAAACTAAAGATGTAGAGAATTTATATAGTTAGTTACCTCATCGAAACTACAAATTCCAGAAGATCGATGCCCAATAGGCTGCTGGGAGTTCTTGATATCCCAGGAAACATTGAGCAAAACTACATCATCATACAAACAGATATCCCTAGTGTGTTCATCGTCAACCTCTACAATGGTAGAACCAGCTACGCCTTTACAATAGAGTAACCTTGTATCAAAATTTACATCAAACCCTCTACCAAGTGCCTGTACAGCGTTAATAGCAGTGTGCAACGCAGTTCCACTCTCCTCCATTTCTCATCCGAAACCCTCCAAAGAGAAACAAGATCACTCCTCCTCCTGGATCAAAAGCAACCCCAAATCGAAACGGTACCAACCCACCTAAAAATCTTGTGCTTATTTTCCTGGAACCCCACGAGAATTAGGGTTTTACTCTCATCGATGCATTTCTCAATCGAGCTGGTCATTGATTCTAAATCGAACTCTTCTTCGTCTTCTCCTCCTCCTCTTCCCGCCTGAAGAATCAATTCCGAAGGAAATCCCGACGGTAGATCTTCAAACTGGATGGAAGATACTCCGAACCCTTGTCTTCAACGGCAAAATTCTTGACTCCACTCCAATATTTCTAGTGTCAATTTGGGAATATGCATTGACTCTACGGACGTTGCTCTACACGGAAATCTAGGGAATGATTTTAGGCGATAAAATCGCCACCGGAAATCGTGGCAATTGAAATCGAATTCTGAAAATTTTGACAGAGGATCGATTTGGAGATCGAAAGGAATAGAGAAGAAGACTTTGATCAGAGATTTGAAGGTCGAATTCCTCTGGTCTTCGCTTCCGTCGTTTTCACAAAACCAAAATTGCTTTCCTGCTTGATCAAGAATTCTAAAGCTTCCTTTTCAATCGTGCGTATTTACGTTCACAAATGTCAAAATCTTATAGCTCAATTTGGTTCTAATGATAATATACACTCAAAAAAAAAAAAAAAAAATCTAGATGTCAATAGTTTCTCGCTTCTTAACTACTCTCTTAATCACTCCGTTCATAATTTATTCTTCTCTGTTCTTAAATATCCAAACTTAAAACGAAATGAAAAGTCTAGTTCTATAGTTTATAGACATTGTTGTCGAATGTCAAAATAAGAAACTTCAAAACCCAAATAATTAATTTCTTTTATAAACGTAAGTTCGAAAATACTTTTAAACCAGAAGATTACTCGTGTTCATTTAAAGTTGTGGAATTTATTGATAAGAAATTTAAATAAAATTTAAATGTTCATAGGTATTTTTGAAATATTATGCTACCATTTTTTTTTTATTTTGTTTACACGAGTTTTATAAAAAGTTGTATTTTTAAAGTTGGGTTGGAATGTATAGTGAGATCGAACGAATAATTCTTTATAAGGGTGTAGAAGCCACTTTACAGCAAAAGTGTTTTAAAATCGTAAGGGAAAACCAAAAAAGGACAATATTTACTAGCTGTGGGCTTGCTTGGGTATATTGTTATCTCAACGGGTACTCACCAGCTTCCTAAAGTACATTGATTCGTCCCCCAGTTGAAAGACCAACGCATATCCCGAGACCCTGGTGAGTAGCCCGCTCAACCCCACTTCCTCTCACAACCTCGGTTTCCTTTTCTGAAACCTACATTTCACATGAACCGGGATTCATGAAAAACAGGAAAACAGAGGTAGAGAAGAATCAAATGCTCCTGCAAAACTTTAGTGATTCTTTTTACACATCAAAACAAGAGCATTCCAAGTTCTAAAAGGAATCATCTTTGAAGATGTTCATCATGTAAGCAACTATAATAATAACTCACGTTTACAAAGGAACAAATAATGAATTATGTATAATTATGTACACAGACATGGACATTGCCGCTATACAGTATCAACAACAACTACCCACAAGAATCCTACCAACCAGGTTACAAAAAGTACGAACGAGTTCGATAAGCAGTTGACAACCTCAGTACTTCATCTAAAAGATCATCAAGAATCAAATCCTCCAACTCGAGAGCTACGTACTCGGATTCGGATTCGAGGTTCATCCAATCATCGCCTTTTTGTAAATCTCTCTCCACAACATCGTCCAAAAACTGGTCTAGTTCGGGTCCTAAGCATAGGTACCACGCAACTTTTTCTCGGACCTCCTCGAGAACGTATAGTCCAAGTGGCATTGGACGGAGTTGACTTTTTGAGGAGAACGTTTTGAGGAAACAAATGAATGATTTTTCAAATACATTATGTAATGTCTCATAAACTAAATCAATCATAAGCTGATGATCAGAATCTTGATCAACCTTCTCCCAAGAGCGTTCGAGTTCGAATCTTTTGTAAGAGTGAGCCTCCTCTCCTCCTCCCTCGAACATCGAAGAACCGAGCGGTCGGTTTATTGCGTGATCGGTTTCGATAAGGCTGGTGAGCTGAAGAATGTACCTCATATAGTCGAAGTTGCCATTATTGATTCGATCGGGTTCGGAATGCAGAAGGAAAGATAGAGAAATCTTTTCAGTATCATCAATTATCTCATGATTCACAATGGTTTCAAAAGGTGGTAAAGCTTCTACGCTGGCCTCGGTAAATTGGTCGTTGGACGGTTCAAGGTCGTTTACAATGCCACCTGACATGGTTCAACCAAACGCGTTTTTACGTAAGCTTCATAAAAGAGGACAGCATTAGTAGAACAAGATTGAATAGGTGTTTACCTTCTAAATCGAAGAGCTTGTCTTGTTCTTGTTCTTGTTCTTGATCTTGTTCATCAGCAGCCTCGTCGACATCTTGAATTTCCAACAGATGACGTTTACTGTTTGAAACATCTAGGCAAGGCATTTGCTTCCGAAGCTCAGCTGTCTCGTCATTTTCGTCCTCGTTTACGCTACCTAAATGATCAACAGCTATGTTATCATCACCTTGTTCCAACATACTCGAAGCACTAGGCAACGGTTGAGATATCTCTACGTTCAACCGATGAGCTGGATTCTCGTCTCTTCGAACGTTATTACTGAAATGTACCACACCCCTTTTCGGTTTTTCGGGTCGAGAAAAACCATGAGGAAGCTCAGTAAATAATGTATAAAAGAGATTAATATCCGGCATAGAAAGATTCCTTCCGAACGACTTTACAGGCGTCTCTCTAATCGGAATCTTATTGAACTTTTCCTCTCTGTTTCTATTGAAACCAAACTCGGACAATTGAGAACATCTTTCCAGTGAAGCAGTTCCTGTCTTGGTTTGAACTTCCTTATCAAGATTATCACTCTCAGAACTAGCAGCCTCACTATAGCCTCTAAAACCCGAGCCATCTTCGCTTGCAGTCATTTCTGATCTTTCCTGAGCCTCATTTCTGTCGTGAAGTTCATGTCGAGAACGATCTGCGGTCGGTGTTTGTTTACCTGGTTTCTGGTTATTTCCCTTCTTCCTATCCTTGATAGAGTGCCTTATTTTCTTCCTAATAAAGTTGAAACGCTTGATAACCAATTGATTCCACCCGACATACTTTAGTCCACGGTTCGAACCCAAAGAAAACGAGCTCGGTTGCTGTCGATGGCTCGACGAACTATTAGAGTCACAAGGTGTCACATCTTCATTCATAGGAGAATCAGATGCAACCAACTTTGATGGTTGAGGGACAGACTTTTTCCCTTTTGGAAACGACTCGGTCAGCTTGTGTTGGAGTGAGCTAAGCTTTTTGAATCCTTTTCGAGCTAAACCAGGAGCAGGAAAGGACCGTGATTTCGCTAGACTTGCAGACGACTTCGTATTTTTCGGGGTTCGGGGCGTGTGGTCATCGAATGAACCTTGTAACAATTCAGCAAATATTATTCTATTTGCCTTGAATACCTCTTCCACATCATCACCTTCCTTACTTTTCTTTACTTCTTCATTACATTTTTCTGTACAAGATGTCAACTTCATATCAATTTTTCTCTGAACAAAGTAATCAATATCCATGGCATTCAAAGAATTGCTCTTCAGCCCATTTGCTACTAATTTCATGCCACTTTTTTGCTGAGGACTGACTCGGCTGCTACCCGTGCTGCCTTCTGGGGAACAACACGAAGACTCGAAATGATGAATCGAGTGTGTTCGACTCAACCTTCGTTGCGAATTGGAGCTCAACTTCCAGTCTTCTATGCTTTCTTCCTCTGATGTCTCTTTAGCCATCACTTCACTTACCTGAACTTCTCCAGATCTTCTGTTATAAGGGCAACTCTGTGCAGTACACTGATAAAAGTATGATACATTTAGAACTTACTAATACTATCTTACATTAATGTTTCATTATCTCTGATAATGCTAAGATGACCTTACAAATTGAGGCGTGTTGTTATCGTTCATTTGTTCCGGCACTTCCGTGCCGTGGTGGCTGTACGGAGTCGATTTCGAACCTCCCTTGCCTGCATATGAGGTTCGAAGTAGCACTTAAAATACTTGGAAAGGGAAAATGAAATCAGATGAACTATATCGACACAAGAAATAGGATGCTGTTGGCTCAGTTGCCATAGCTATATTGACACGAAAACTAGGATGCGGTTGGCTCAATTGCCATAGCTATATCGACACGAAAACTAGGATGCTATTGGCCCAGTTTCCATAGCTATATCGACACGAAAACTAGGATGCTGTTGGCCCAGTT